GAGAGAGAGAGAGAGAGAGAGAGAGAGAGAGAGAGAGAGAGAGAGAGAGAGAGAGAGATAAAGAGATAAAGAGAGAGAAAGAGAGAGAAGTTAAAGCAAGAGGAAGGGAAATAAACGAACGGCTTATCTATCGCCGATAAATGGTACAGAGATACGGAAGCTTATCGTGATTAAATATACCTACGGGATAATCGAGAATTACGATTGCGTCGGTGAATCATAAATATACGTTGAACTCTCTGTTTCCCTTCTATATATATTTTTTTTGTTTCCGTTTTTTCCTGGATCCATATTCCCTGCGAACTCGACTAATCGGTGTTGGGCGATCGACGTGATATGTCGTCCGATCGGAACAGTCCTCCCACGCTAAAACCGGCGGCAGTTCCTTTGAAAATCGTTTAGCGACTTCATAATGCGGTGGAGTCGTATCCGCTTCGTCCCCTGATCCGACCGCGTCCTACAAAACAACCGCAAACATGTAATATCCTTGTTTGGAGTGTGCAACAAAAAACAACGAGTCTAATTTTAATTAGTCAAGCATGCTACTCTCTGTGTTCTCGATTCGTTTCGTTTCTTTTCTTTTCTTTTCTTTATCGTCCAACCGTGTCGATTCTCAATCTCGGCGTCTCTCGGCTGGTGAATCCGTTCTTCGTTTTCGTTAATAAACACTCTGCCAATTGTCGCGACTCCACGGAGAGTCGGTCTTCGAGAGCAGTTCGCAGCGATTATTTTAACACTTTGACTGCAGCGTGTTCGACTTTGGATTTTTGAAAAATAAATTGCACGCTAAAATCTGTTTATATCAGCCTGGTTTCAAGAATGTACAACTTAACTGTTCAAGTTTCGTTGGACTTAAATTTAATCTTGCAAAACTTGTCGGTTTATTGGCCTGCCAGTCGAAGTGTTAAGCGCGTCGCATTTGTTATTCAATGGGGAATGAGAGGCGCGATTAAGGAGAGAGAGAGAGAGACAGCAAAAGGTGATGAAGAACGTCGAGCGACGCTGTGTTTATTAATGGCTTGTGAACAAACACTTAGTTAGCTCTCGAAGACTATAATCCCCGCGCCAGCTACCGTAGCGATGGAATCTTTACACGCGGAAGAACAAAAGTTACTCTCGTTCGCGGTGTTATATAAATAGACGAGGAAAATAAAAAAAAATCCAGCAAGATAGGCGCGAATCGAATCGGTCGTGTTAATTAATAATATCTTTGGAGACAATGATGGAGGTGCGTGCGAACGCGAGAGCTCTCGAAGCTGTGTGTGCGCGCACGGCAAACAGGTTTTAATCGGAGCGAAAAAGAAAAATGACTGTGTTATCGGTTGCGTTTGTGAAAGACTTCAATAACGAGAGATCTTGTTAGATAAATCTTGCTGATCCGGAGGGGATCTATGCGAACGTACAATTTTCGTTGGAACATTGTCACGTGCTATGTATGGTATTCGTTAAAAAAGAAAAAAACCGGTCGAGTTCGTATCTTTCTATTCTTTTTTTTTTCTTTTTTATTTGCGTCTGTCTGTGGCCACCGGAAAACACGCATTTTCCGTTTGGTGTATTAAAGACGTTTCGCTTGAAGTTTTCATTAAAAACTTTATTATCATCGGTACAACAGTTCTTGTTTTGTTTTTCGTTTGTTTCTCCTTTTGTAATCATTAAAAATACCGACGTGACATTACATGCGCACTGCTTAATTAATCAATAATATCCTCTCTTTCTCTCCTCGAATGTACAAATGCGAAAAATTTGTCGTTTATTCTCGGTCTATCGACGTATCAAAATTACAAAAAGTTTTCTTCTACTTTTTTGTTTTTGTTCTTTCGTTATTTCACTATATGGCTAGCGCGTATAATATAATCCTTCTACGTTTCAATACTTGGCCTCTGTGTGGCTTAGGAATGACAAAAAAAAAACGAACAGCCGCGAGACTTTATTTTTGTACGTTGCATGCACCGCGCTCGTTTCTCACAGACATTGTTTTTTCCAGCGATTCGACGATGAAACCGGGCGCGGCGATCTTTCTTTCGAACGTGTTAAATGTTCTCTTTTCTCTTTTTCTATTATTCGTCGGGTCGCGCGAATGAACGTGTGTACAAGCTTGTATAAAAATGCTTCGCCTATAATAATTCTCGAAAATAAAATAAAATAAAATAAAATAAAATAAAATAAAAAAAAGCGAAAAGTCAAGGAAAAGAAAAATGAAGTTTTATAAAAAAAAGAACAGAGAAATACAGGATGAACGATGTTCTCTCGGGATGAATAGAAAAAGAAAATGATGTCGCGAAAGTTAGACGAAGACAAAGAACACTGTGTACACCGTTTTCGTGCAGGCGTGTGTGTGGATGTGTAAGCGCGCGTGTGTGTGTGTGTGGGTGGTGTGCTTGAATACCTGCGCGTCACAGGAAAAGCCGCCAAACTCTTCGGTACATTAATTTTTCTTAACTATGTGTCGCCGATCATACTACTACCGTAGTCACAACTATCGATTAGAAGTCTTGGGGAGTATTATAAATTTTCACTACCTCTGCGTATGTGATTGAGACACGCCAGCAATCTGATCATAAAACTAGCAGGTACGGTCATAGTGTCTCTGGTTTGTTCCAGCATGATCGCGTTCCTCTTTTTCAGCTGTAAAAGGTGGCCAGAACGATTGTACATGCATAATATATAACAATGGGAGCAATAAAAGAGAATTATTGTTTGACCCCTTTTTGGGGGGTCGATCGTTTCCCCTAGGGGACTTACATCTTCAGCAAATTTCTCGTCGAAGCCGGACTCCTCGTTTGTGGGAGCCCACAGTTTGACGTCGTGGTCTGTACCAGCGGTGACCAATAAGGGTAGATAGGGATGGGGCTGCAGACAATTGACGACATGATGGTCGGCCTCCAGCAGCATGCACAGTTTGGCGGTCGCTTTTTCCCAGACGAACACGTGGCCGCAGTCGCTACCCGACATGACGAAATCGTTTCCCCAGAAGTTCGCTTCTTTAATCATGGTCCTAAAGAAACTAGAGTCAACCGGGGGAAAGGCCAACTGATCAGATAATATATGGCGGCTCCCGTGTACAAACGGCCCAGTCCGCTCGAAGGTTTTTTCGGAACTTAACTAGTCAATGGCTTGGCTTCCGATTCATTCTCAAAAAGAGGTGGAAAAATAAGACAACGGCATGGCACGGCACGGCACGGCACGGCACGGCACATTCAAGCCGAATGCTCGGCGATTCGACGATCTGTGATTTTAGTGATTATACGAGAACAGAACAGCAAGGTAGTTCCAAAACCGGGGGGAGAGTGCTGAACTAGCCGAACGGTTTTGGTTCCACCGGGCGGAGCAAAAGAAATCAGCCCACTAATCGCCTACGAAAGTCCTCGCTCATCCCAGCAACACCCTTGTGTTAATCTTTTAGTCACAAAATCGAATGCGATGGTACACGTTGAGCCGTTTCATCGATTGGAAACTTGTCGCGCGTTAACAAAAGAAATCACCAACAATATCGTTATAGTCCTAGGCGAAAGGACGGGGGGAGTAGTATACCTTGCGTTGCGGTGGCCCATATACTTCTGTTTCACGAAATCAGAGTCGTAGGACTCGCTGTAATCCTCGGACTCCTTGCTCGACTGAGCCTCGTCCGAGCCTTCGTCGGTTCCACCGTCGATTCCGACGTCGGTCCCCACGTCCGTCACCGTATCCGTCACCGCGTCGGCCCCTCGATTGGTCCCTTCGTCCATGCCCTCGTCGGTCCCCTCGTCGTCCATTTCGTCCACCAATCTATTCGTTTCCCGAGTACTCTGCACGGTAGCGGTCTCGCCACCTTCCGCTTCTTCGCTTTGTCTCTCCTCGCTGTTCTCCGCCGCGTTGTCGTTGCTGTTTTGAGTATTCTCTTGATTCAAGACCACACCCTCCAAACCGTCCTCGCCCCCGCCGCATAACGCGGCTCTAGTCACCGGGTCGTTCAACATTCGGCTCAGAACATCGGTCATTCTCTGCATCAACGACGTGTGAAGCACCGGTCTGGCTTGGGCTATTTCTGGAAGATGCGAAGGCGGGTTAATGCGCTGTTGACAGAGTAACCGGACATCGTCAACGATCACGGTTCAGTGGCAAACGTACGTCTCCTACTGCGGCGAGCTCCCTCGCGTTCGGGTCTCGAATCCGGCCCGGTGTCGGACCAATCTCCTCTGAGTCTCAATCTGCGAACCGGCAACGGTGACCGCAGCTTCTTCACCTCTTTCTTTTCCACCGGAACGTCTTTCTTCAACTGAATGTTGCCTTGGTCCTGAATAGAGTCATTTCATAAGTTGTAAAAGACTGTGAAGTCGAGCGGATCTTTCGGTACCTTTATGTTGAACAAATAAATATGGTCGCTGCAGTAGCTGGCGAGAATGTCTTGCCCGTCGGGACTGTAAGTCAACGATGTCATCCTGTGAGAACTTCCTTCGAATTCGGGAACGGTAAATGTGCATATGGCATCCATCGCGCTCGCTTCTGTCAGTCCTAGGAGAATATCGATTGCATTCCGAATGAGTTTTTTAGCTATAGAAGCAATGAAGGGAACGCGCAAGTATTTACCGGTGGCCGGAGTTCCTAGCGTTCTTCTGTCGTATATTCGTACTGTTCCGTCCGAACAACCGATTGCTACTTGATGTGGCATGGTGAGGTTTATAGACAGGGTTGTTATAGCTCTCTCGCAAGAAATAAGCACATCCTGCAAAGTTATACGTAAGAGATCCGTTACTGATTACAATCGTTTTTGCGATTCCTGCGGTTTCTATCCTATTACCTCTTTACATTTTTGCGTATTGCATTTGTCCTTTATTCTGAGATCAAAGAATCTCACTGTTCCGTCCTCGCCGCAACTTAGAAAACTATGCGGTTCACCGGGTATCGTGACTACTTCGTAGGTAGTGCCGCTGTGACAATTGAATCGATTGGAAAATGTTTCTACTTTTCTCATTAAATCTGAAAGTGTTGCAAGAATGATGTTACTATTATTACAAATTCTAAAGGTCGCGGGGTCGCATTTCAAAGGTCGCGAAGCTTCACCTGTGTACAAAATAATGCCGTCGCCGCTACAGGAAACTATCCGGTGGTCTCCGCTATTTGGAAGAAACTTCGCGCTAAATATGTTTGCTCTGTGGCTGGTTTTATACTTTGACAACACCTGTAATAGAAAAACAATGGCATGAGGAATAATAGTTGACGTATGGGCGTTTTTACAATATCACTTATTTTTCTTTTTTTCTGTTTCATTGCAATGACATTGACTAACATAGAGCTCTAAATCCTGCTTAATTACCGATACAGCTCTAGATTGATGGTTCTAGATGACAAAATTAGCACCGCACGCACTACACGCAGAGGTTTTTGTTCATTTGGCAGAGCTTCTACATTTCTATCTATGTCAATGTTAGACCTTGGCTAGAATTAACTATCTATGATATTTCCTTGAAAAGGTTTATTGCCAATGCAACTTCCTTGAACATGCTTCCTTTTGCTAGAATTTGTTGCCATACAATTGCATTTAATATTCAGCATTGTATATACGGTGCCAAAAATAAATTCACGGATGAGATATAGCTTATTACTCGTGAAACAACTTTAATCTATAGAGTATACTTATCATAGCAGTATTAATACCTTTGTACTCAGTGCACGTAACTATAGAGCATATGTATATATATATTTTCAGTGAAATAGGAGTAAGTATAGTATGTTTAAACAATATATTGTACAGCACACGTTTAGATTTAAACACGTTTTGCAGATAGCGAAATATATAAATAATCTTGGCACAAAATTTTACAAAACACGCAAATATACCACAAATTAATGCACAGGACAAAATAATAAATTCTTCCATGATAAATTGCGTCAGCAAAAGTTGCTTCACCTATAATTCTAACCGTGGAGCACACGAGTTAATAATAAACGCTTCTGACTGAAGCAAGCTAAGATTACAATCGTGTAGGAGCACGACGATGCTTTTTTTCTTTGTATTCGTCGAGGACTCACCTCGTAGGTATAAGGGTTCGTAAGTACAAGATGTTGATCGTCGCTACCAGACAATATTAGATCACCGGTAGCATTCCAACAGACAGAATTGATGCAACCATTGTGCACTTTCAGTCTCTTTAACAGAGTCATACGCTGCATCATTTGAAGGCTCGCTGGAACATATCGGATGGGACATGAATAAACAAACGTTTTGTGCGTAGGAAAGAATGATTTCTATTCGATTAAATTTCGAAAGCGTCGTGGAGCGGTTTGTCTGGCTTCGCTAGTGCGTCGTTTAATTGGATGATTGCGTCGATTTGAGTGAGGTCACAAAGATTGTTCTGTCGTAGTCGCCGTTCAGCATGGTAACGTTATCAAATTTTCCGCTGAAAAACATATGGCTGGAAATACCTTTGCTGCTGCCGTAAAGATTCATCCTGGTGCAGTCATTGTATGGCTGATAGTAGATGTCACGGAAAATATTCGGACGTGACTTCTTCATGATTCTGGCTGGCTCGTTACGGTCGGGGTTCGGTATCAATTTGCGGAACGCATCGATCACGGATTAACGTCAAATTATATCCAGAACGAGAACACAGGCCGAGGAGAGTGGCGTGAACACGCTGGTCTTTCTCCCGATCAACGAGAAAACAGAACGTCGTGTATCGACCGAATCAGAAACAACGTAGCCTGCTGTTACGCAGCAAAAATCCACGAGGATCGTTCCGAAACGACATGGCACCTTTGTACTAAAAATAAACCACAGAGCTTCGAAAATTTGTGCAATCAGATGAGCCGAGTGATCACTTCTGACCAGAACAGCTGAGCGAATGTATACACACACAGCGCTGAAAAGAAAGTGCGCGAGAGTTCGACCATTCCTCTTTGTACTATAATCGATGCCGACGGTAGCGTAACGAGTGTCTAGAGAGCCCCACTCCCGTGAAACGTCATATGTAATATCGGAGGATAATTTGCGAGTGACTGTGATTTCGTAATGCTATCCAGTGTAATATAAGAAACCACGAATGATCATTCATTAAAACCATTTTACCCTCTATTCCCGCTCAAATATTGTCGATCTGCGTGAGTGCTTAATCTACGCTTATCGATTTATCAATTCCATAATTAAGAAACAGCTATAGAGAAACATAGCTGAAATCAGAAGAAGTCGTGTCATTGTCATTAAGCACTAATTCAGGAAACATAGATATAAGAAAATTAGTTTTTTTATGTATCCTGCATACAAATTCCTTTATCGTTGAGAAAATACTGTTCAGATTTGTTCATTATTGTGTGAAGAAACATCAAATGATCCCGTCCGTATTTATCATAAGATAATACATGTAAATTTCGGAGAAAAACCATTCGTTCTCTACATTCATATAAGCGCCATTAAACGTAGCGGTAAAACGCTCAAACTGATAGCCAAATATTTGGCTACTAGTTTCAGTATTTCGCCACTACTAGTTATCGACGAGTAGTTTCAATGTTTCGCCACGGATGGCG